GCGGGGAAAAAAACCTAAACATTAAAAAATTTTTAATAAAAAATAAAGACGTCAAAAATGTTTAAATGCCCTAATAATTTTCCTTTAACACAGGCATAAGTCCTGTTGGTTTAATTTGTTGCTGGGTATGTGGAGTTTTATTCAAGAATGCAATGTACGACGTATTCAAAACAGAATAATCTGGAAGTTGCTCTTCACCGCTTGAGCCTACTAAGGTAATGACTAAACTTAAGTGAAACATAAAAACATATACTAACCATAGGGTCTCTTAGCTCTCAAGCATCTAGTTTTGCATTGGATGTTACCAATCTTGTCCTGAATCCCCCATAATTTCAACCTGCCCCAATTTATTTCAGCACCCTAGAGGAAATGGGCAAACTACAGAACCTTATTATTGGTATTTATACTCTGCCTAGATTCCGCAATCAGGTTTGAACCAATTTCTTAGACTAACGTCTCTCTCTGTGACCTAATACACACATATTAGGTTGAGTCCATATCAAATTGCAGACATTTAACTACTTTTGACCTACAAGAACAGTAATTATTTATGTTTACCCATAGTTTAATACATCTTTTCTTTCTCTTTTTTCTTTTTAAGTAATAATCTCTCTGCCCAGCGCAGGGCCCAAACTTATGAATCTGAGATCGAGAGTCGCATGCTTTACCGACTGACCCAGCCAGGCACCCCAGTACATTCTCTTCATATTTTCTAGCCCTCCTATTTTTAAGAGAAAATGCTGGTCTTCTGCTTTTGAATCTCACTAAGTAACTGAATTAATGAATGACTCTCTGGCAAGTATTTCTAACAAGCTTTTCAACCCCAGGATTGCAGGGTGCCTCATGTCACTTATGTGGGACTTAACCACACATATTTAACCATACATTCTGTATCCACCACTCCTAAAGCCAAATTTAGTATGCATCTGTCCATTCTTTTCTTAGCTGCATCCTCACACATACACACAAAGGCAGATCAACGCCACAGAGAGACAACCGAAGTTCATTTTCTCTTGAAACTCATTCGCCACAAAGCAAATGAGAGGTCTCAAGTGTGGAAAATGGCTGTCAGGTTCTACCTTCTCTTTGTCAAAGGTAAACAAAACAGCACACACACTCTACTAGGTCTATCATGCCACTCTCACATCAATCACTGAACTGTGGAGGGAGAGCATGACTCCTCTTTCTCCATTATTTCCCCTATCAGACTGAGCTGAATAAAATGGTGTGGATTAAGTTTGCTCACTTTCCCCAATCCCGTGCTATTTCGGTATTTAATAAACAAGCAAAACCTCCCCGAACCCATCTGTCCTGCTGTCCTAGAGATGAATTTGGCCTCCTTCGCTAAAATTACAAAACATCAAAGGATTTAAAACCGCATGCCCTAGGAGATGTGAGGAAATCCTTAATACTCTAAATTCTATAACTTGAGACAAAGTTAGCCACCTAAAATGCCTTAGAAATAAACACGAATTGCAAAGAAAGCAAACATTACATGACAACTCAGACTTTAAATCGTTTCATAAAGGCCCCGAGGGTATGGGAAATCCTAAAATGATCTCATATGTAGTCACAGGTCACTGCTCACAGGGAAATAACACTCCACATTCCAAACAGATTAAATTCCTAACCTGTTTATATGCTCTATTCTAATTGTTTCACTCTGAGGAACTCTTTGCATTAGCGAACCACCAGGCAGACTGAAGTATCACTATAAAACATGTATACATCCTACTGCGCAAAGACGACCCCTTAAATCATCACGTACATAATCAGAATGCTGAAGCATGTTGGGGATGGGTCTTTTGGTTCTTAGAGTATTGGAGAATCATTAAAATCCTGCGGACTGTTTTCCTTTAAAGACTCATTAGGGCACAATTTAGCATTAAGCATTTATTAAAACACATAACAAGATGATTGTATTCAGTTTTTCAAATGAATAGAAAAGCTTTGGCCTTTTTCATTTACACTGAGTGCAAGCCATTGGTACAGATTATGGAATTCCGCTGAAGCCTCAGCACCCTGACACAGCCCTGACTGCAACGCAAAAGATACTTTTATTTAAAGAGTTTGGTCTGTAGGAGGGACTGTGTTAGGCAGCTAAAGTATTTATTATCTCATGTAATCTTCACCATAAGGTTCTTAACTCGTAAGAGTTGTGAGAATGCCTCCCAGAATTGCTTCTCGACTTCATATGGCTTTGAAAATACATTTCCGGAGGTAGGTCCCAGGCATTGGTACGTTTTTAAAAGCCCATCAGGGGATTCTGACGCAAAACCACAATCTAGAATCACATATTTAAAAGCAGCAGGATCTTAACTCAAAAATAATCCTCAGCAGTACAGCTGACCCTCTCCAATACACCCAATGCCTCCAAGGGCCTTGGGAAAACTCCAACAGGCTTCCCTCACATCCTGGGATTCCACCTTCTACTGACCTCCTGCTGTCACAATGTCCCACAGAACTACACACGCTGACCAGGAGTCTCTCATTTCTCCTCAAACTGTGTTACTCCTCCCCCATCTTCAGTTCAACCTCATCCCCTTTAGGGAGGATATGATCTGATCATCAGGTTAAAGTTAATTCCCACAAAAACATCAAGCAAAACAATGAACCAAACAACTTGACACTCCGATTTCTGAAAAGTTGCTAATACCTTTTGTTTTAGGTCAGGCAGCATGTATGAATAGTAGGGGTGCTTCGGGGCAAGAATGCTCTCATTTCTCTATACAGAACTGTGTTCACTTGGATAGTGTTTGCTACTTTCCAGATATAAATGTGGGATATTAACCAGAGAGCAGCCAGAGTTTAGCTAAATTGTTTGAGCAACTGACCAAAATGGAAGTATAACTCCCATCATTTAAACCTCCCTTCCGGAGCAAAAATAATTAATATGCCAAGATGACTTTCAGCATTTTCAACAATTTACTTATTTTCAAAGCGTTCTTTAGAAAGCGCTCCCTAGTCAGAGGGTGGGAGGCAGTGGAGGGGGTGATGGCCTGAGGGGCTCAGTAGGTTAAGCGTCCAGCTCTTGATTTTGGCTCAGGTCATCATGAGAGAAAGCCCTGCGTCGGGCTCCATGCTGCTTGGGATTCTCTCTCCCTCTCCCTCTGCCCCTCCCTTGCTAGTGATCTCTCAAAATAAATAAATTAAAAAAAAAAAAAAAAAAGCGTTCCACAGGGACGCCTGGCCGGCTAAGTAAGGAGAGTGGGCAACTCTTGATCTCATGGTTGGGAGTTCAAGCCTCATGTTGTGTGTAAAGATTACTTAAAAATAAAAGCTTAAAAAAAAAATGCTCCACAAATTTTTCCATAAAATACGTTTTCTTGGTAGCAACATATGTGAAATAGGGGGAGATCAACTATGAAGAACAGTTCATTTAAGGACAGAAATAAGATGAATCTTTATACACTGACCCAACTACTAATAAACTACAACACACTATATTATCCGTGTGCCTTCCATGTTTTTCACGCAGGCTTTTAAGATTCTATCAAGTATTTCCATTAAGTTTCCTAATCCCCCCAACATGGCAAAAGCTCACACATGACATTTAGTTAGTAAATTTCTAATTAAACAAGAACCTAATTCAAATCCTTTTCATGATAAAGGTCTCTGGCTTGAATTCCAATCTGAATTTTTAATTTTTAGGGCACCACCAAATTCCACCATTCAATAGTACCTAGTGCAACAAATCAAGAGACATGCACTTACCTGATCTCTCCTAAGAATTCTTGGGGGCAGGCTTCCCACACAGTTGCACAGTAGAAATTGTAAACATTGGTTAACACTATACATATAGGAAAATAAAAGCTGTTGGTTCAAGATTAACTCCCGTATATACAGAGCCAAAAATCTATAGAACAGGTGCACCAGGTTGGTTGAGCAGGTCAGAGGATTTGATCTTGGGGTCAGGAGTGCAAGCTCCACGTTGGGTGTAGAGATGACTTAAATAAAATAAACAAAACTTAAATAAAAAAAATCTATTAAACACCTGTCTTTGGGGAGCTCATTCACCATAAAAATGGACATAAAAATAGGCTGTATTATAGCAGTGGTAGAGTGAACTAAGTGAAAGAATGACAAGGCAGGACAGGAACAATGGGGACTCACACATTGGTGAGGAGGGTGGGACGTCAGTTTCTTGAGCACCAATATGGCAGAACTCAATTAACAGATATTAGACCTATTCTCTAGTCCTAGTTTCATAATCCTCTGGACCTCTGCTTCCTTGGTTCTAACACAGGGGTTACAATTAGGTAATCTAAATCTTTCTAGCTCTAATATTCTGTCCATTGATTCCAATAGTTGTTATCCTTCCCCATACATTTACCCTGCTTATTTAAAGCTGTAAGAGCAGATGTATGTAAATACCTTCTATCCCTCAACATCCTTGAGGAACAAAGACTCTGTTTTGGGTTAGGGAATATTTACTCATCAGCGTGAGTTAGGATGGTTAAGTGACTGGGGCACATGGGAGCAGCTCAGTCCTTTAAGCTTGATTTCGGCTCTGGGTTTATGAGATCTCGAGCCCGGTACCGTTGGGCTCTGCAGTGTCAGGGCAGAGCCCACTTGGGATTCTCTCTCCCTCCTGCTCTCTCTCAAAATAAACATTAAAAAAAAAAAAAAAAAAGTTAAGTGATTTATCAGCATAGTTACCAAATCACAGCTTTTTCCTAGCTGCATGTACCAACCCATTCTGCCAGGTAGTGTTACACAGAAGACAACTTAGGAGTAAATCCACATTATGACCCAATTACTTTTTTCCACCAGTGAAGTTGCAGATTTGGAACTAAGCTTACTAAACAAAGAGGCTGAAAACATCAGTTGCTAGTCATTTATACACTTTGTTATTCTTTGTTTTGCATTTGTCTGTCAGGAATGCTTGTAGCTTTAGTTCTTCCTTGAAATGTTACTTCTAACAGGCCTACTCATTTCAGGGTTTTTTCTAAGCTTCAACTTTTCTACTTCATATTCTTCAGAATAAAGAAAACAGCTCATTTTAAACAAGAAGTTTATTTAAACAACAAGACGCTTGACTTGAAGGGAAAACTATCTAGGATTCATTTCTTTTAGAGTAATTTATCCCTACTTAAAGACAGATTGCCCTACATGTAACAGCTACGTACAAAAAAGTTATAAAATTGTCCTTGGTTTTACAATGAAAAATGAAAAACATTAAAATTCTCCAATCGAACAAGGTATGCAAGGATTTTTATGTTGTTCTTTTTTTTTTTTTTGTTAAACAGTGAGAGCAAAATAACTTACTGGAATATAAAGATAAGAGCTGAATGAGCATGCCACTAATGGAGAAAGGGGGTATTTTCACAGAACCAGTATTTTTCCCCATCCCATCTCCATTTGATGTCGATCAAAACATACCATTGGCCATTTAGTTAAAAAAAAAAAATGCAAAATGCTTGTGCACATACACAGTTACTTTATGTACAATAAAGGAATGGGGAAGGGGAAAATGAAAGAATAGAGAAAACTATACTGTAGTAGTCAGGATGTGGTGGAACCAAATTGTGGTTTTCTAATTGAGAATGTCTTCTTGGTCTGGAGGAACAGAGTTCTGGAGTAAAGTAGCAGGTTCCCTTTTCAGTAGACCCCTCCTGTCTGCTGCTGGAACACATCAATTGTATCTTCATCCTCCATTTCCAACTAGCATAAAAAGAGAAAAAACAGAAACAAAAACAAAAACAGGGTCATGGATTATCAGCTCTTAAATCTGTAACTATCAGACTTAAGTACCCTGAAAAACTGCACAAGTTCCACCCAATTCCAGTGTTCATTATTTTAGACATCCCATCGCTTAAAATTGCATCACACTTAAGTTTAAATTATTTTTCCACCTGGGCTTCTTTATATGAAGTTTATAGAAAACTTGACTTTTTTATGTCCATAAGTTAAATCATAAATCACCTATTATTGAAAATATAAAGGATACACAATAAAACCACAAAATAAATAAATGGAAATAAGAATGCCATGTGTAAAAGGGTCTCACTGCAATATGGTTTAAATGAGCAAGACTGGAAGTAACCTAATTGTCAATAAAAACTCAAAGAAAGGGGGGCCTGGGTTGCTCAGGTGGTTAAGCATCCAACTCTTGATTTTAGCTCAGGTCATGATCTCATGGTCTGTGGGATCAATCCCTGTATCAGACTGACGTGCCAGTGTGGAGCCTGCTTGGGATTCTTTCTCTTTCTCTCTGTCCTTCCCCTTGCTTGTGTGAGCGCACTCTCTCTCAAAATAAACAAACATTAAAAAAAAACATTTTAAAAAAAAGAAATACAGTACACTCTTACATGAAATGCCACATAGTTGTCATTAAAAAGTAGATTTAAGTGTGCAGAAATGGAACTATCCCTATGATCTAGTATTAGGCTAAAAACAAATTTTAAAAGTAGGCAGCAAAAGTGGCTACAGTATAATTATATTTGTTTTTAAAAGCATGTGCACCCGGCAGAAGTGCATACCAGTATCTCCTCGCAGATGCACAAAGCACAGTAGCTGTCTCTGGACAGCAAGGAAAGGCTATGGGCAAGAAAAAACTTACTAAAAAAACGAATTTAAATTTTAAAATGCTATTCGCAAACTAAGTTTTGCAAGACTCACTACCCACACACATTGTACAAAAAACAACCATGTTTAGAGTAGAAAGGTCTTGGTACATACAGCAACACTGTAAAAGAAATAATCTTTGTAACAGTTTATTATGCTGATAATTACCCTTGAAAAATACTTTCTAAAAACTGGTAATTTTGGAAACAAAACAAGGACCCTGGGTACATAAAGACAAGAAAGGAAATCATTTCTAACACAGTTCAAATATACTAAAAGTAAGGCTATAGCATTAAAATGTTAATGACTAAGCTTCAATTCCCTCTTTTGTAAAAGGAAATAGCACTCAGTTATATGAATTAAATGAGTCGAAGAAAATTAAGTATTTAACAGAATGGTGGGCACATGATTATATTACTATTAAAACTGGTCATTAAGATGTTCTAATTTATCATAATTCTGCTGGTTAATATTGGGAGAATAATTCTAAAATGAATCAGTCTCATTCTACAGTGAATTCAATTACAAATACTAAAATGAGTTCAATTCCAAATTCAATATGAAGATTTTACAATGCTGTTCTGAAAAAATCCTCCTCACAGTTAATATTTGCAGCTGGCACTGTAGAAACAAGAACCTTTTTTACGGCGGTGGGTGAGAGCATCAAAAGACGGAAAATACATTCTCAACATCAGAGTTTAGCATAATGGGTTTTTATTCTTTTTATACCATCAAAACATGTCTTCAGCCTATCCACTGAAGTAAAACTCCTGGGATTTTAAATTTCAGTGAAACTTGAAATGCCTTCAAAGGATAAAAGAGTTTTTCCTGTCTCTTTCACCAGGAGAATTCAGCTCCTCCTTGTGGCTACATCTTATAATTGCTTCTTAGAGACACCGAGGGAAATTACTTCAAAATACTCTCTCAAGTACAACTTAAGACATTTCAAATTGTTGAAGTTTATCAACAAAACCACAACCAGGGTGGGCTGCTTCACTCGTACCATAAATATTACCTGCTAGTTTTTATGGAGTGATAAAAACAAATTCGAAAGTAGAAGAGCTCCAATTTAAATTTCTATCAAAACACTTTTTCCCCAAATTAGAAGTCTTAAGTGGAACCTCAGAGGGTAAAAAGAAACAAAGAGCTTCTGCCACAGAAGACAGCCCAGCTGATCCTGTACAAAGTGACAGAATGGAAGTAATACATAAAGAGATTAAAGGATCAGACAGTGTCACCTTTTGCAGAAGGCTCTGGAATGCCATCTATTATCAAGAACCCTACTGGTCAGACTAAGCCATCAAGAAACTTGCAGTTGGGAGCCCCAAGATCCCTTTAGTTGACAAGGACAGGTCAAAGAGATTTCAGCATGAGAAGTTAAACCGGTCAGGATCGATAGCCAACTTATCACCTGTGGGGGGCCTGGAGTATGAGCAAGAACTGCAGCAATGAAAACAACATTCTGAACTATGTTCTCCGAACACTGCCGGCAATAGGGAAGGAGGGATTAAAAGCAACTAAATGACCTATTAGTTTTACAAAATAACAATTGCTTATTTAAAAACCTTGGACATTTCCTGAGCAAATACTAACATTAATATTCCTATTGTTTTCCTTCTGTGCCCCTTTGGTCATATTTTACAAAGTTTTGAACTCTGGTGAAAAACTACCTTCCAATGTCTAAAAGTTCATCAGTTAATAAACAAGACTATTGAGCAAACTATAAAACACATGGACTTTTCTAACTAGTGCAAAGGGATTTTTACCTGTGCAGGTGTGTCTGTTTCATTGATTGGTTGCCCATCAAATCGGAATCTGATCTGCCTCATTGACAAACCCTACAAGAGAGTTTAAAAGCAGTAAGAATGCAACGAAACAGTAAGAACTGAAACCATATGCATATTTAGCCACAAATATATTAAAAGAAAAGACCCAAATAAATAATCACCAAAAAATTAACGTTTCTATGGGTAAAACGAGTTGGTATGAGTTTCACTTTGAACCATGTTTTTCTTTGGAAAAGTGATCTTTTTTTAAAAAAAGCTGTTTTGCTTTTGAGATCCAAGCTTGGATAGATCATACGTAGGGTTAAACAGTACATGTAAATGAATTAGAAAGATATTGAAAAGAAATTTAAAGTAACAGATACACCCAGCAACATTCTTCCATGCATGTTAAAGAGCTCTGCAAAGGGGGGGGGGAATACCCTTAATAATGAAAACTGGAGTCACCTAAGTGTAATGATTAAGTTTGCCTTAAAGCTACTTTACCTTCATTTCTATCCCAACAGCTCCTATCACTAAGCCAGAGTAACCAGTGTCCCAACCTGGCACCACACTGGGCACACCACCGGAATTCAACACGTTTCTACCCTTGGGCAGGCAGGACACTTCCACTGGAACTGTCCTAAAATCATTCATAAACACACAAGCTTGGAACTATGGAATAGTTCAAAAGAAACACCTGTTTTTTAAATTCCTTTTTTGTCTATTTGTAAAAAAAAAAAAAAAATTCAAAAAAAAATATGTGGAAACTAATTTGACAATAAACTATTTGTAAAAAAAAAAAAAAAATCCTTTTTTGTACTTAACCAGACCAACAATTATTATTTGTCAACCTCACTAAAAAGTAAGCTCCAGAAGGGACAAGAACCTAAGAGTGTCTTGTTTACACTGTATTCCTCGCACATAGTAGGTGCTCACAGGTATATACCAAGTTACTGATGGAATAAAATGGATGAAATGCAATATCCACCTTATCATGATTCATATTATTTAAAAGTAAATCTAAGGGGCGCCTGGGTGGCTCAGTCGGTTAAGCGTCCAACTTTCGCCTAGGTCATGATCTCACGGTTTGTGGGTTCGAGCCCCGCGTCGGGCTCTGTGCTGATTGCCAGCTCAGAGCCTGGAGCCTGTTTCAGTCTGTGACTCCCTCTCTCTCTGACCCTCCCCTGCTCACGTTGTCTCTCTCTCCTAGAAATAAATAAAACATTTAAAAAAAAAATAAAAAAATAAAAGTAAATCTAAAACTACTAAGTTGAATACTTTCATTACAAAAAGGGAATTTAAAAGTTATATTACTAGAGTTTAGCTTCAAGAAATTTTTATGTGTACTCAAGGAGATAAACGAACCTACGCATGCCCTTTCTGCAAAGCAGATTACAAGGTCTTACAAATCATTACCTACCTGACACAGGGGTAGAGAGAAGGGGAAAGGAGCAAAAGTAGCAAAGCTGTTGGGAACTGCAGCCAAATGAAGACAGGAAAATAAAGTTACCTTTGGAGATATGCTATGTACATATTAACTGGAAAAGTAGTATAGGATGCATAAGAAGCATCCTACAAAAAAAAAATCACTCCTATATCATACTCAAATCACAAACTGTAATTATCCTTATACAGAACTCGCTGCTTCAATTTACTTAAGAGAAAATTAAACTGAGTTCCTAGGACTAGAATATTGAAACAAAGTGCTCAATAAATACTTATAGGACCCTTGTATTCATTTAACAAGGATTCTTTACATCTGTCTTTAAAATTACTTCTAACATGAAGACTGTATTACTTTTCTTTACAAACCCTGGTCTGTGACAAATAGCACTTTCAGACTAGCCTGTCTTAAGGGATACAAGGAATTCCCAGACTAGATAAGGGATATCCACAACCTTAATTCATTCCTCATGACATCCAAATTTAATTTGTGATTATGCAAAGCAACCAAGAATTGAATGCCAAGCCATTAACTACTAATTACATATTTGCAAACACTTCATTGAAGCCCCATTGCTTTAATAAAATACTAAGCCATATGCTGGATTTTTCCTCTACTACACCCACTAGTAATGTCTTAAGGTCCTAAGGTCAATGGCATGGCCATTCAAAACAGGGGGGGTGGAGGGACACAGGCCAGAACATGCATCGTATTCCTTCGTGTTTTTCCTTATCAATAAAAGCTTTTATTTTGCTACGGATCAAAAATCCAAAAATCAGGAGCCTTTCCAATTCCATAAATCATGTCAACTCAAACAATGAATTTATGTTAAACCAGTATTTGGGTTCCACTTCTGAATAAATCTTATCTCTGAGCTTTGGCTTCAGAGATGTGCCACAGAAGAGCTGTGTGAAGTTAGCTTTGGATTCCCATTCCTTCATTTCACAAAAATGAACTGGAATCAACCAATGAACCAATCTTCGCTCTCTGAAGCCATTTGACATTTCATGAAATAATCTATTATAGCAAATGCACACTAGAATGAAGTAGTATGCTCTCAGCAGAAGGCTACATGGTGACAAAGTGGGCAAACTCTAATTGTACATGTGAATAGAAAATTTATTCACAATCCAACCTCTGGAGACAGCTTGAATGTTCTCTATCATTTTACAAGCATTTACTGAGCACATTCTATATACCAGGTACTGGTCTAAAGCTCCAAAGAATTAGTGAACGAAAAGACCCTATGCTCATTGAGCCTACATTTTAATGGAGACACAAATAGAGATCAGTGCAAAAGACAGCTGAGGACCAAGTGATGGGAGCAGAGGCATTCTGAATTAATCAGAAGTCTCCCAGGTTAGTGACTGAGCAAGAGTGGAATAAAATGGTTCAGGGCTCAGCACTATCCAAGACAAACACAACATGGCAGCTCTTTCTGCCCAAAAGGTCCTGTCCCTGTACTTTACTAAAACCACCTTTTTGCACGGGGGGGGGATATGGATATATACACATATATATGCCACATATGCAATTTTAAAATTTCTAATTGCCACATTAAAATCAGGTAAATACTGTTTTAAGCCGACATATTCAGAATCCTGTTATTTTAACACATAACTGACATCTGAAACGTTGAGTACTTTTCTCTCCACTATGAGTTTTCAAAATCTGACATACTGTGCACTTTACAGCATATATTAATTTGGCTAACCATGTTTCAGGTGGTAAACAGTCACATGTGCTTGTGACTGCTGTTTTGAACAGCACAGATTTCAGTAGAGAACAGAATTTGTTGATGGATTTTATTATAGGAGTTATGAAGCACCATCAGGATGATTCCAAGCCTCTGACCTCCTACCTAGATGCAAAATAGTGCTATTTACTGAAGGGGTACACCAAAGAAAAAGATTCTAGGAGTGAAATCAAGAGGCTTCTTTTGCATGTTCAGTTTGAGTTGCCTATTAGACATCTACTGGAACTCCTCCAAAGATCTGAAGCCAAATGAGTTCATCAAAAAGTAAGTATGAGCATTCAATTAATCTTTTTTTTTTTTTAATGTTTTTTATTTATTTCCAGGAGAGAGAGAGAGACAGCGTGAGCAGGGGAGGGTCAGAGAGAGAGGGAGTTACAGACTGAAACAGACTCCAGGCTCTGAGCTGGCAGTCAGCACAGAGGCTGACGTGGGGCTCGAACCCACGAACCGCGAGATCATGACCTAAGCGAAAGTCAGACGCTTAACCGATTAAGCCACCCAGGCGCCCTGAGCATTCAATTAATCTTGATCGGAAATCCTTACTCAAGAACTCTCAACTGTCCAAAAAAACACAAAAAACAAAAAAAACCACCACCTTTAGCTATGCAAAATGTGGCTGCATAAATTTTAGACTTTTGAAAGGCTCTATCTACACTTAAAAAGCAAGGAATCAGGGGCACCTGGGTGGCTCAGTCAGTTAAGCATCCCATTCTTGATTTCAGCTCAGGTCATGATCTAATGGTTCATGAGATCAAGGCCCTCAATTCTCTCTCCTCTATGACCCTCTCCCACTTGCTCATGCTCTCTCAAGATATATAAAATAACTTAAAAGGGTGTGTGTGTGTGTAGAGAATCAGCCCAATTAGGTGATACTTCCTCAACTCCCTCTTCCTTAGATTGAGAAAAATAAACATTTGAAAAGTAAACAGAAATATTGTTTCAGTCAAAACTCTGAGGTTATTTTCAACTTAAAGGAAAATGGAAACAACTCTTTTTAAATTCTTCCTGGATCATATGTTCAAATCGTATTTGCATTCTAAGTGATATGCAGCGGAATTACATTTTTATAGATTGCCAATGCTTCTTTTTCCCATACTGCAAATTAAGAGTGGCCTTAAGTTTGGTCAACTTAAACCTAACAGAAAAATGCACAGAAAACTTTATTTACATGAGTAATACACTAAATTTAACATACCAGGAAAACCCAAAGTTCTTGACTGACTGGCTAACTCAATCTTCTAGATCTCTTATAAAGACCACCTGCAATGCAGGATGTGCTGTGTCTTTTTCTGGCACATATAATGCCCCAGCACATGGTAAGTATCTGATAAATATCAGATAAATAAAAAACTCTTTTCAGGCCCTTACAGGAAATACAGAACTCTTAAATATGAACCTTTTAGGATAGAAATTATCAACAGATATGTATAACAAAATGTTAATGGTTAAATCTAGGTGGTGAGCACGAGTATTTTTTTTTTCAGTTTTTTCTATTTTGCCCTACGTTTGAGTTTTCAGAGTAAGTTTTGAAAAATATGACCATCTAAAACCTAAAATTTATGGGGCATCTGGGTGGTTCAGTTAAGCGATCAACTTCAACTCAGGTCATGATCTCTCGGTTCATGGGTTCGAGCCCTACAGGGCTCTCTGCTGTCTGCATGTAGCCACTTTAGATCCTCTGCCCCTTCCGTCTCTGCCCCTCCCATATATCCCCCCCATAGATAAATATTTAAAAAAATAAAACCTGAAATTTAGTAATGAGAAAAAATAGGCGAAAATGTTGTTGAAAACCACTAAATCTATGCATGCTTCTATTTTGTAAAAGGTGTGCTACGTAAAAGTTCTACAAGATGATTACCTTTTAAAAATCCCCCTGTAACCTGAAGAGGCACTATTGTTCAAATAAGGAAGATGGTAGGGCAAAAATTCTTTAGCACAACTTGTAAGCACATATTTACTAGTTGTTTAAATGGATTTCACCAAAACTCTTCCAACAGGAGTACACCAAAAACTCTTTTCAGGGAAGTGTAACTTATATATGAAGGTAAAAAGCATTATACGCACAATATCCTTACTATAAATTATTATAAATACATCGGACAAAAAAGCTTCAATCTCAAAAAGTAGTTTATCTTCAGCTTCTTCCAAATGCCCTTAGATCTTATAGAGGAAGTCCAACTATCGGCTCAAACTCAACCTCTCAACTTCTGTAGGTTTAAATCTTACTCGATTTTGAGTCTTTTTTTGGGACAATTTGCAATGCTGACAACTTATTTTAGTCTGAAAGAATGACCTTCCCAACTTTCATATGTTATATATTCAGGGTTGAATAAAAAACACTTCTTCTGGGTTGAATTAACTGATCTAGGTACCAGAGTTTTTGTTATACTTGCAAAAGTCATCTTTAAAGTTGCCTCTGTATTGTTACAGACTCAACCTCACAAAAGGAAGCTTCTTTGTTTTAAACCCGGCTTTCACCTCACAGCATCTATTCATTTCAACTTCCTCTTTTTGCTGACTATTTACTAATTTCTGAGTAAAATGCAAATGTCCCTAAACATAGGAATGTTTTTGTCTGACTCAGGAGGTTAAATTTCTTGACCTCTACTATTAAGAAAATATGACAATTTTACATGCTTCAGGAAACCTGTAATGTCGTTAAACTCACACTTTATTTCCAAACTGGTTTAAATACTCAAAAGAAACGACACAAATACACTACACAAATTTTTAAATGGATTAAAAAAAAAAAAAGCTTGACAAGAAATTTTACCGAGTTCATCCTTATTTTCTTATAAAACTACACCCCCTCGGGAACTAATCGCATGTTGTCAAAATAATTTGAGGCTTTCTGGCACAGGACTAGAATCACAGAGCTTATTAACCAAACAACCGTAAGGGTTTTCATGAAGCATCCACATACCAAGTGTATGATAAAATTGATATGTCAAGTATATAAATCCATTCATTCAACCAAACAAGTCTATATAATAATTATTATGCCAGTCTAGGTTCTACTCTAAAGAAAATAAGATTAAAAAAAAAAAAAACGTTTTATTGGAAGTGCATGTCAGTTCCTCACCTGTCGTTCACAATAGGCTTTCATTAGTTTACTAAGTGGTGTATGCCTCTTAATCTTAAACTGCACCACAGAACCATCCTGCCCCGCCACCTTCAAATTAATATGATCGTTGTTCTCAGTCTTGACTCCTTCCTGTTGAAAGAAAAATAAAAGTGTAATTTGGAAAATGTGAAAAACAAACACCTTTTAAAGTAGCAGCAGCCCAACTTGCTTCAGAAATCAACAGGTTTCTCATTCTGTATGATAAAAGAGCATACAGCTGTTTTCGGCCGCTGAAATCAATCTGAAAGATGAAAACTCCTGGAACAACGACATTAAATAGCTGTCACAGAGACAGAAAAGCAGCCTTACATGCAACACCATCAGCGGCAACAATCGATTTTTAAAGATGGGTCCCACTCAATTTACTGTCAAGAACTCTCGAATCTGAATTTTCTAAAAGGGCTCTCTCAAAATATGTTTCCCCTGAAAAGATAAAAAGTAAGTGTCCCTTCCCTTTATAAAGTGCTTTAAGTACAGAATGCAAGGATAAAAATCTAGACCTTGCAACTGAAAACTCATTGTAACTCTCCCGTTAAAGTTATAAACTGTTTAATAATTCAAACCTCAACTACTTAAAAAAAAAACCTAATTGATGAATATCTGTCGGTTCTCTCTTGAAGCGGCAGTAATAACTCAGAACCACTATTAATGTTCGCCTCTATGAGCAGCCTCATTTTTGTTTATTTTCAGTTCAGAGCTCTTATTCTCCCCTCCCCTTTGTTGTCATGGGTCAAATGCCGTTTTCTTCCAAGTCTGCCTTGTATATTTGGACCCTACCTGAAGTTCACCAAAATCAAGAGTAGATGGAAATCTGTAGCCCCCAAAACCTTTCAGAAAGGAAGGGGGAGGGGGGTGTCACGAAACAAATCAAACGAAAGTGCCCTGTGCCAATAAGAAGTGTGTGCCCTAGTCCTCACGGGAAGAGCCTCCCGGTGCCTCAAAACCCGCGTTAAAAAGTTAAGCCCTACCAAGTCTTTCTGCTCGCACATCTGCCTCCCAACTTCTCGAAGCCGCATGGTCTCCGCAGGTTAGGGGTTATCTGGCACACAGGGAAAAGCCCCTGCCCAGCCTCCCTGGGGACCCCGAGGCCATCAAAGTGGGAAACACTCCCCGGGAGTCCCCGAACCCCCGGCCCCTCGCGACGGCCCGATGGGAAACCCATCGACAGCCCATTGATTCGCCCCGAGCCCTCCCCAGGCCAGCGCGGCCCGGGGCAGGGGTCCCCCGATGCCCGCAGCCCCCTCCCTGGAGGGGGAAGCCCCGGGCGGAGGGAACTCCCCGCCACTGCGAAGGCGGCAACACCCGCCGCGGCCCGGCGCGGGGTCCGCGGAGGGTGGGGACACCGCGCGCCCTAACGCCCCTCCGCACGCGCGCCCGGCCGGGCCCGACGAGCCCCGCTCGCAGCCGGTGGGCCCGCGGGCGTCCGCGATCCGCCCGCCCAACTCGCGCCCGGCGCGCACTCCGAGGCGGCCGGGGGCGGGGGAGGGCGGCGGGGCCTCCTCCGGCGCGGGAGGGAGGAAGAGGGGAGGGAGGAAAATGGCGCGGAGCGCCCGGGCCTGAGCCGCGGCCGGCCCCGTGGGGGGCCCAGGAAGGCGCGGGGAGTCCGCGGCGGGCTCGGGCCGGACCCTAGCCCGCGCCGTGACCCCGACCGCGCGGCGAGGCGAGGAGGCCGGCCCCGAGCTCACCTTGGGCTTTTCGTCGGCCATGGCGAGCGCCGGAGTCTCCTCAGCTGCCGCTTCACAAAAGAGGTACCAGGTCCGCACCGAACGAGCACACAAGCAGCACCAGGAGCGGCAGAAGAAGGAGGCGGCAGCGGTGGAGGAGGGAGAGGGCGCGCGCACGTCGTGCGCTCCCTCCCCCCACCCTGCGTGCGCGAGCACGAGCCGCCGGGGCTTCCCATTGGTTGCCAGCTCGCGGGAGCGCGCAACGCTTACATAACCACCCCCACCCCCCGCCTCGCACCGCCCCGGCCTAGACCCAGCGCCCGCCAGGCCGGCGGGAAGAGGCGCGGACACGCGCACCCGGCCCGCCGCGGGGGCGCGCCTGGCTCTGGGCGGGGCTGTATTGTCCTTCTGTGGTGGAGCTTAATCAAAATGGCTTCCAGCTGGTCCTCGGTGGGGACGAGGAGGCTTGAGGCCTAGACGTGAGACTCAGGCCGAGGAAGGCAGACTGACTACAGGAGGAAGGGGGAGCCTAAGGCAAAGCCCTAGCATGAGGTTCTGGAGAAAACTCTCCTGTTTAGTGGCCTAAATGCAGCTTTCCACATGGTTGAAGGAACATCACACTCACTCAGCCTCTGATCCTTTGGATTTTAAAGCTTCAGCCTCAGCCCGCCACTTCCTACCAGGCTCTTACCTCAGTGCGGTGCCTTCTTGCGTCTTGCTGGTAAACCCATACTTTGCTAGCTGAAGAAAGATGTTCACCTTACAAACTCCTTACTCATGGCCTGGCTCCCAATCTCCGAGTGGAAACAGAACTCGTCAGAGAACTACCCGATATCAGCTTCCAAACCAATCAGTCATGTTAAAAAAACGTTCCTACTGTCAGGAACAATCCAGACTCCAGTGCAGTGGCTACCTCCCACTCCTCTAGGTAGACTTTATTGATTATTTCCTTGGTCCTTATACTTTCTTCCATTCCTCTCTTAGCATAGAAAAAGACTCTCCCTCGATTCTATTTCCTTCTTAAGTTACCACCATATCTCGCTCCATTCTTGGCCAAACATCTTGAAAAACTGTCCATGCCAGCTGCCTCCACTCCCTCACCTCCCACTCACTCCTCAACCCATAGCAATCTGGTGCTGTCGCGGGAGTACCACTGAAACTACTCTCTGCAAGGTCACCACAGTCTCCTGTGCTGAATCCAGTGTGCTTCCCAGTTCCTCACTCCTCTAAACTCCCTCCCTGTGACTTTGGGCTGTTGACTCTAGCCTGTCCTTGATCCCACTGCAATTTCTTTTTCCTCCTCAGATCTTCCCTTAAATGTTCCTTGCATCTTGTTTTAGATCCTTTTATCATTCCATTCCCTCTCCTGGAATTATTTCACCTACTTCTGTTACCATTGGCTAGCTAATGATTCTCAAATATGTATTTCTAAACTAGATCTTGTTCTCAGCTTCCAACCTATAAATCCAACTGACCTCTGAACATCTCTGACCTCTGAACATCTCCGCTTGGATGTCCCAGAGGCACCAAACTCAGCAAATCTCAACTAAAATTCCCCACTTCACCTTCCGTCTTGAGTTCTTGGATCACTGAATGGCACACCATTACAACTGTTGCTCTCCAAGCTAGAAAGCCAGGGGGCATCCTTGACTCCTGACTCTTCTTCACCCTGGCCCCTCCCCATGCAATGGATCTCTGAGTCTTGTCTATTCCACCTTCCAAATATCTACCAAATCTAGCTACTTCTCTTTAGCCTCTGTCTGGTCTCTGGGCTAGTCCGCATTTGCTGGGCTTCCTGTTGATCCTCAGTGGGGAAGAGGAGGCTTAAAGCCCTACTAGATATAAGACAGGCCAAGGAAGGCAGATTGATCAGGGAAGACAGGGAAAGCCCAAATTCAAGTCAGCTTACCCCAAGGCTACTGCAATAGCCTCTTGTTTGTTGTTGTTACAGTAAAGTACATCCCTCTTGTGTCTGAATATTTGAATGGATCAGAATCATCTAGAGTACTGGGGGGTTTTTTTGTTTTGTTTTTAAGTAGGCTTCATGCCCAGCACAGAACCCAGTATGTGACTTGAACTCTCCACCCTGAGATCAAGACCTGAGCTGAGATCAAGAGTTGGACACTTGGGGTACCTGGGTGGCTCAGTCGGTTAAGCATCTGACTTTGGCTCCGGTCATGATCTCGCGGTTCATGGGTTTGAGCCCCGTGTTGAGCTCTGTGCTGACAGCTAGCTCAGAGCTCAGAGACTGGAGCCTGTCTTTGGATTCTGTATCTCCCTCTCTCTCTGACCCTCCCCTGCCTGCGCTCTCTGTCCCTCAAAAAATAAAAAGCATTAAAAAGGTGCCCCTTGTTTTGTTTTGTTTTGTCTTGTTTTAAGCAAGCTCTACGCCCAACATGGGACTTGAACTCATGTCCCTGAGATCAAGAGTTGCATGCTCTACAACGGAGTCAGCTGGCCACCCCTAGGGTACTGGTTTAAATGAATATTCTTAGAAAATAAAATAAAATAAATGCATATTCTTGGGCAGTGTGGCTCTAGAACCCTACCCCCCCCCCCCTTTTTTGACAAGCTTCCCTGGTGATTCTTCACACACTGACTTGGGAACCACAAGCCATTCTAAAATGAAAACAAAATAGAAGTTTCTGCCACTCCTTGGTTCAGTGGCAATCCTCTGCTTTACAGTGTAAAGTCCAAAATTCTTGTAAGACCTACATAAGCCCTTTGAAAGCTAATGCAGGCTAACCATTCTAGATTTCTGATCATTTCCTCCTGGAAAGTCTCTGCTGCAGTCATATTCAATTACCTGGGGTTCTTAAATGTGCCAGCTCTCTACAAACTCTAAGCTTTTGTCCATTGTAGATACTCAAAGACTCACTGAATGAGTAAATAAATTGAAGCTATCACTGTGTGTAAGGTCCTATGCTAGGCATTGGGAAAAGTCCCTCACTCAAATAACATAATTGAGTGGGGGGTTGGGCAGGGGTTGGTGGTGGATAGGAAATACACAAGAAGTAAAAGGGGAAGAGAATTAACTGCCATGTGTCAGGCACTGAGTGGGGCTTTATTAATATTAGCTCATTTTCTCCTTACACACACTTACAAAAAGAGGTGTGGTATTTATTTGCTACTGAGGGTCAAAGAGTTAGGTAACTTGCCCAATATCACACAACTGGCAAGTAGTGTTGATTGAGCTTCTACAGTATTCCAGGTAAAGAACATGCTAGGTGTTATGCCATGTACTATAGAGAAAGAAAGATGCTATCCTTGCTCTGCTGAACCCAGGTCTTCTGTTGCCATCACATACCTTCCCAGCTTTATAAGACTGCAGAACCATCAGAGAGGTTTGGGCATGTTAAACTTACCCTTATTAATGCATGAGGGCCTCCAATAATGAAATGACTGTTTAGTCCTTAGCTTTTGGGCCACAGGTGTGTCTTATAATATCCGTCTTTTCCAAAGTTATTCTAAATTACAAAATCACCTTCAGGCAAAGGAGGAGCTCCTTTAATTAATTCTTTTTTTAAAAATATTTTTATTTATTTCTAGGAGAGAGAGAGAGAGAGACAGCGTGAGCAGGGGAGGGTCAGAGAGAGAGGGAGATACAGACTCTGAAATAGGCTCCAGGCTCTGAGCTGGCAGTCAGCACAGAGCCCGACGCGGGGCTCGAACCCACGAACCGCGAGATCATGACCTAAGCAAAAGTCGGACGCTCAACCAACTAAGCCACCCAGGTGCCCCAGGAGGAGCTCCTTTAAAAAGTAGCTAAGGATATTCAAATGTGTGAGCAATATATATTCCAGTGGCAAACTGGAATTGTGTGAGCTGAACCTAGGGAGCCTACTAAAGTTGTATGCTGAGAATCTCCAATTTCTGGGGGGAGGGGGATGGGAAAAGATAGAAATTTCCCAAAATAAAGTTTCTCCCTCCATCACTTTTATAGGGGTGGGAAGGGGATGGCCGTGCACTAGAAAAGGGTGCTTTAGAATAAGAAAGAAGAAGGGGTAGTAAAAACAGAAAAGAACAATAGCAGATGTTAATGGAGTGATTATAACCTAGGGATTCTGTTCTAAACTCTAGATCTTCAGAAAACCTCTATTCTTATTATTCCCATTTTACAGATGAAGAAAATGAGACATAGAAAGTTTGGGCAACTTGGTCACCCAGCTTGAAGTGGCAGAGCCAGAATCCTATTGAACTCAGGCTTTCTGGCTTAGTGCACAGTTAACGTAGGACCACATATAGATTCCTATACAGAGAAGAGAAGAAGGCCGCCTGGGTGGCTCAGTCGGTTATGTATCTGATGTTGGCTCAGGTCATGATCTCACGGTTCGTGGGTTCAAGCCCTGCACCAGGCTCTGTGCTGAACATTTGCTTGGAGCCTGCTTTGGATTCTGTGTCTCTTTCTCTCTCTGCCCCTCCTCCACTCACACTCTATCTCTCAAAACTAAATAAATATAAAAAAAAGAAGAAGAAGAAGAGAAGAAACATGCAGAAAAAAATCCTAGAGTAGTGCCAGGAGCACCAGTTAAGTTGTTTTGACTTAAATTTTCATTTAGTTGTCTCTTGGCAGAATAAAATTCCATGAAAGCAGAGACCTGTGTGCCTTGTTGACAGTTTTATCCCCAACACCTTGCTCAGTCCTAAAGGATAAGAGAAGAGAGTGAGGAGGAAGCTGTGTGGTGAGTGTTTTCACCATTAGAGGTTGAGTAGGAACTTGGTCAAGAAAGCCCTCATTCCTCTAGAAATCTAATTAAACATCAATAATTGGTGTAAGAGGGTAAGAATAGGGTAACCTCAGGGTCAGCTGCCAAAGCAAAAGCACTATTCCTACAAGGGATGGGAAAACAAGAATCACAGAGAGTCTTATCTAAGCTTTAAGTTTTTGCCAGAAACACTGAGAAACACATCACTGAATTTATAACAGACAACTAAAGTGTGTAGTTTATACCATCAAATTGCCTTCATATTCTATCAAAGGTTTGTTGAGTGCTTGAGCTATCTCTGCGAATGCTTCAGGAACACTGAATATTGAATGCCCAAATACTGCAGGAAATCTGGAAGCAGAATGGTGATATTATAGAAAACTTCCAGCTTTCTATCTTCGCATCATAGCAAAGATGGGACTCAAGTTAGTGCCAACAGTCAAAGCCAAGAACCTGCTATATCACACTTTAAATGTGTCA